TTTTATTAAGGAAAAATCCCTAAACTTTTAGCTACTCGGAATTAAATTTACTTCTCTTACTGTTTTTAATCGGCTTTCATCGTTTCAATGCGCTTGAATCATTCAGAGCCGGGCTCTTCCTAATTTGCATAATCCGTAATCGGCCCGTGCATTACGGCTGCATAATGATCGCTCAGATCTCGCTCTTAGCCAATCAGAGCACACGTTATATCGGCCACAAGCCAAAGCCATATAATAATTATATGTAATTACTGTAGCCTAATAATTATTACTGTAGTATTTTTAAATGTACATGTTACCTTAATAGATTTGTGCTTTTTTAAATTAATGGGGCATCAGTAAAGAATTTAGATTGGGTATCCAAGTTACCCTACTACAGTACCACTCAAAAGTACATGTAAGTTACCACTTCATCTTGTGACTTACAGGGCTACCATAAAAGGCTAACATGTGACATGTACCTACTGCACTCGGAGTGATCAACATCTATTTTCTTTGTGTACGCACATGTACAGTACATACTGATACAGCTGTACATAGCAATAACTGAAACTGATAATTGCAATTTTTCTCTTTCTGCAAGTTTTCATACCTTTCCACAGAAGGCGTTTTTATTTTACCTTCTACAGGTGCAACCCTCAACAAAATAAAACTCAGTTTCTCACTTTCTTTTATAACTTTGGATTCTGAAACCCCTCTAGCCTTTGGAGTTTCCAAAAACCTTGTTTGGGAAGGTACAAGTAGTCTATGGATATTTCTAAGAACTACATGTACACTTATACAATTTGATATTGTGGTTAAAAACACTCAGCAAACACCAACCTCTATGCTCTTTATTTTTTCTTCATTACCATGGAGCTTTTCTGCTAGTTCCTTCCTGATGTCTGATACAGGTTGGAGGACAAACCTGTCGATTTATAAAATACATTCACTTTTTTAAGGGTGATGAATGGTAAAATTGGAGAAGATGCTAAGACCCTTCCTTGAAAATCAGAGACTGACACTTCAACAGACCCCACAACAGAAAGAAACACACAAAAAATATCGAGGCTAGGTAACTTTGAGATCAGTTCAAAAGTTCTGATACACATGATGTTCTTAGTACCATTTACTATCTCTTTAATTACTCGGGCTGAATATTGGCTTCCTGTTCAAACATTACATGCTTTGTAAGTAATGCACAATGTATTTTAAGTGGTGTGCTGTACTGAACATAGAATGTTGCAAATATATTGAACAAGACACCGTTGGCACAGTTCTCTTTTTTGGCACTGCAGGCACTAATTTATTTGTTTTTACATATTTGTATATTCATTTGATCTTATTTTCTTTTTCTATTCCTTGCAAACCATCCTGATGGGATATTACAAGATAAGAATGTAGATGTAGTACACTATGAATGTTATGTTAAGTTTATGTCAGGCCAAGTCGTCCATACCACCAGAACTTATCCCAGCTTTTGTAGTATTAAGCGGCTTCGACTTGGCCTGCATAGCAACTGTTCTGGCAGTGTGTAAATTGGAGTGAGAGCAAAGAATTGACAAAGCAGAGCGTAGTGAGGTGAGGGTTTTTCAAAACCGAGGGATTGCAGGCAAGTGTTCCCTTCCTTGCCACACCATTCCCTGCTTCGTCAATTTTTTTGTCTTGCCCAAATTTATGTGCGGCCACAATGTGGAAAAGCTCTTCGTACGGGAACGCGTGCTACGCAGCCTAGCTTGGCCTGAAACGTCTACTCCTTCCTGGGTAGAATGCTAGTCCATTGTAAGGTGACCCCTAGCACCTATTAATTTTATACTCCTGGGTAGAGAGAGGCATGGTAGGAGTGAAGTGTTTTGCCAAGAACATAAAACAATGACCTGGCCATGGATTGAACCTACATGTAGACTGCATGATCCAGAGTCCAGCAAGCCAATTAAACATTAGGCCTCCAGTTCTTCACATGTAAATGCTATAGCAATTACAGAAACATATGCTGAATACCTACATTCTTCCTACTGACTCATAAGTGGGTGTATCAGTAGGTAAAGACGCTAGTTCTTGATCTGTCAATTTGGCATGGGCAATGTTCCTTCGTAGTTGCATTATTTGCCCTTCAGCTATCTTGACACGCTGAGTGGTTTCAATCATTTTCCCCTGAAGTTCTTGAAAAGCCTAAGGACGAGCGATAAAGACAAGCAACGTTATAAATTATTTCTGACAGCAGTGTAGCTGCTCAGTCTGGGAGCTGTTGAATGAACACAGCTTTCTCCCATCAAGTTTTACCGATGAATACACGCATACAGAATATACTTAAAAATTTACTTTAAAATAACTTAAAATAACAAATGACTGGCGTTCCATGAAAAAAAAATGTTAAAATCGATATATGTGGTGCTAACCTTTCGCAGTTCTTGGTCAAATGTTGTCGCCATCTTGAAATTGTCACCTCTACCGAGAAGACCCTGGAAACTACGTTCTTCGATGCGTATGCGCTCATAAAGACTACCGCTGGCAAAATGTGGCTCACAAAGTAACATGGCGGACGAATCGGCAGATTTCTTGTAAACAAAAATTTGGGTAAAAGTAAAGATGTTGCATAACTTGGTTCGTAAATTTAAGCCTTTCAGGACGCTCAAGGGTGGAAGGTTGTCTCAGGATGTATTAATAGAAGCGATTCGCCTAAATCGCTCACAGATTCGCCTCAAAAGTCATGATATGGCTACATGGAGGATTTCTGCCGCACGTAGAGGTGCCCCTGGTATTTCAGTCAAAAGTCCATATTCTGTGAAGATAGAGGCGATCAATCCCATGGAATATGTGGAACATGGAGATCCTAAAGCTGAAATGGTCAAGGGATACCTTTATCTGCAGACTGTTGGTGAGGAAGATCTTCCTCTACAAGTGAAAACAGCTTTTCAAGAAGACATTGAATACTGTGTACAATCAGAGTCGTCATCATCAAGAGACTATTTGAAGGTGAAAATGAGTAACGAAGTGATTAAAGAGAACAAAAAATCATTGTAGTTCAACATGCAGCAGCTCAATTAATGGCTGCAAAGAAAGATAAAACTCTCAAGATACTGAATTTCAGGATTTATGTACATGTAGATGGAAGAAACCAAAACTTTTCCTCGGGAGTGGGGTGGGGGGCGGGGGGTACTAAGATTTATTAGTGAGGCCAAATTGTTACACCTAAAGAAAGTACTATTACTTGCACTTGTTGGCCAAAACCAGACTCAAAAAAGACCAGTGGTTTGGAACATAACCCAAAAAGACCTTGTTTCCTCACCTCAGGGACCCAGGGGTGGATAGTCAGGGTAGAAGGAGGAAATGGGCAAAAATGATGCCAACCAAAGTTTCATTCATGACCCAGCTATCTGCTCCTGAGTCTCTGAGGATATCGTTTCCTGACAGAATTGATAAAACAGAGAGCCTCCTTGTCATTTTTTTTTTATGTAGTTTAGATTATTTTTTTTTACGTAAACTACATAAATGAAACTAACTCAATTGTCTGACATAAATATTAGAACTCTGGGTCATGCATTTCAGTATGTCAATCCCCCCCACCCCCCAGAAAAGTCCTTACAGATATCCTTTATCCCAAAGATGTCACCACAAAGTTTCTTAACCCCCAAAAAGATATCTAACCTGCTAGCACAAAGATTGCAATATGCAATATCTTGTGGTAACATGCAATGATGGATTGATTGTTTACTTTTGATTGCTCAACCCTTTTACTAGTAAGTCACCAATAGAGACTCGCTTCCTTTCACAGGTTACTTGCTCAGACCAGCGAGAGTTTCAGTACCCTTCAAAAGATGTTAGCTTGCATTTTCAGGTTCCTGCCAACTATGGTGCTGACATTAAAGTCAGAGATGATGCCAATGTTGACATCAGAAATCTTGAAGGAGGGCCTTTTGATATAATTATGGACCAAGGCACATGTCGTGTGAAGAATCTTAGGGGGTCACATTTGAGAGTGAAGACGAATGGTGGTAGCATTGAATGTGAATCTCAGTTACTGTTTGAGTTGGGAAACCTCGACACTAAAAAGAAAGGAAAGATATCTGTGAAAAAGTTGCAAGGGAAGGAATTTTGTTTGGAAACAGAAAATGGAGCTATTGATGTGGGAGCTTCATATGTACTAAAGGCTCAGTTGTCATCTGAAAGTGGTCACATCAACTTAGGAGATATTCACGGTGAGTACACAATGCATCTACTGGGAAATACCTGGCTTCAAAATCCTGATCAGGGCCATTGCATTGCATCATTGAGCAAGCTGCTTTATTCTCTCTTTGTGTTTCTCCTCTCAGAGGAATGATAACCAGGGTGCAAAGAAATATGAATTTTTAGGCTTACTGTTCAGGCAAGCTTAAACTGTTTATTGATGCACTACATGTAGTCCAAGATTCAATCTCAATAGCTCCCCAAAACATTCATCTCTTCTATGTACTTTGAATTTCTTCAGATTTCTTCTGAGAAACTTCACTTTCCCATGAGAAGAAAGCTTATGATGGCTACATTCTTGTCATTCACAAGTGCCAAAATGAGTAAATTGCTATTTTACAAATCATTTTTTAAATTGACTTTTAAACATGTAAATTTGCCATTTCTCCCTTCTTCTAGCATACATGTGGGACCTCCAAACCTCTTCTTGACTGAGTATGGACTACCTTTGGCAGTAATTTCTGAGCTGAAATCATCTTTCTGTGAATTGCACTTACTTCTAATCACTTCTTTGGTGACTATGGGCTTTTCCTCCATGTCTTCTTTGGACCTTATTGTACTTATTAAATTATCCCCAGACCTCACAAGTTGTTACCCCATATATTTGTTAATAAAGTGCATTTTTCCTCTTTCAGGTGAGAGTGAAGTAAGTGTCAAGAGTGGAGACATTTCAATTGGTTCAACATCAGGGATACTAAAAGCTGTTACAAACACTGGAAACATAGACATCAGTTTATCGCGGCATAATAATGTTATACTGGAAACCAAAGAAGGTAAGTTGCCCTAAAACTCTATGAAATTGTTTTGCCACTTATTTTTTCTTGAAATTGCATAGTAAAATTCCATTTATAGAGCGGTTTTTTAATTGAGTGTTGAAAGCTAGAGAGGCAATTACTTTGGTTTTGGCTTTTGTTGTTCTACGGTTACAGCTTGGCTCAGAGCGGTCTAATTGGTAAGTAGTTGGTTTGGTTTTGGTTTCACGACACTCAGTTGAAAACCGCTCTAAGTCCTACTCCCTTAACAATGAGTCTCCCCACCAAAATAACACCTTGTGAACAATAATAACCCAAGGGCGTCTTGCCCTCTTAGTTTGACAAACTAGATGTGCAGAATTCATGAAATGCTGAGCCTGAAATGACGTTTGTTCACTGTTCACTGTTATTCCTTGCAGGAGACATTCACATCAAGTCATTGGAGGAATCTCTGTATTCAGAGCTTCAAGTGAAGTCAAAACATATTGACATAAATTCCAATGTTAACGTGGCCATTGATAAAGAAGAAAAAGGAGAGAACTTTATTGTTATGTCCGGGAAACTCAACCCTGAAGACAAAACGGATGAAGAAACAAGGACAATTAAAGCTGAGGCAAAACTAGGAACTGTAAAGATTGAAAAGAAAGACTGGTTTAGTTCTTTGAAATTTAGCTAAAGCGTACGTCTACAATTTGGAATTTTCAAAATGACTCGTGAATCATTCTATTAAATTAGGCTAAAATGCCAAATTTGTAGTCGCCCATTAATTGACTTCCAGATGAGAGACGAGGATACAATTGACCACTCAAACTTCAGTACCGGTCAAATTCTTCAAAGATTACTCCCTCTCGTTTGTTGGCAACTTTTCCAGTTACCTGTAAAATTTTCTCCCCGCCGACCGTCGAATCCCAAACCCGGCCATGGTCTTTCCTCAATAAAAACTTTAACTTTAACAACCTGCTTTGTGAGCAAAGGCCTGATATTTGTCCTTTGAGAGCGATGCTTCACCCGGATTTTTTAATGAGTGGTGGTAAAAGATTAATTGTAATTTTCTTTTTAACAAAATCGTGGACATAGAGCTCTGGGGTTAGCACTATCGAGGACGTTACCTAAAAAACACAATACATAAAAATAATAAAAGTGAACGGCAAAAAAGAAAGGAAAATAAAAACTTGAACTTCTTAACTAGCGTTGAAAAATGTAAAAAAGTGGTGTCCTCCGCTATTTTTGAGGGAGAGCATTAAACTCCTTTACTACCTTTGTTTCGTGTTGTTGATATTCCATGGGACTCCCTTAAAAGCTGTTTGTCAAATTTCGCTGGCTTTTATCCCTCGTTTTTAATGGCTACAAACAACTGATACGACGTTAAAAGATTCCCCTAAGATAATTCGGAAATATTTCGATGCCCTTTTTATACTTGGTCCGGTTTTCGTGGTGGCATTTGTCCGCAGTAAGACCAAGTTGAGCAGTTCGGGGAAATTTAATTTACATACGGAAGATTTCAGAGAAAACTGAAAGTACTCGCTTGACAGCAAAAAAAATTTACTCATTAAAGTTTGGTATTGAAATATTGAGAATATTTTCCCAGATGTCATTATGTTAGGAGTTTATTTGCAAATTGGGAATATTTCGGAAAAAAAATCCAAAATATATCAGTTTTCTCTTACCTGTATCCAGTTTAGAGCCTTCGAACAGTCAAACAATAGTTTTTCCCTAAATGTCCGTACACTAGTGTCGTGAATGAAATTGAAAGAAAACAAACGGGATAGTTTTGAAACCGTTCGTATCGATCAATGTGAAGAAGACTTTCCTAACCCTGTTAAATTTTTTATTTTGTGTTCTATTTACCACAAAAAGGCGACTGCAAAAATAGGCAAAGTTGAAAAATCGGGATTCTTTTAACGCGTAAACCGAAGATTAAGAGAACCGGAAGAGAAACAGGGAATGACACCAAAGAATGTTAGTATTCGTTTAAGTTTGTCGTATGCTTTGTTGTTATTGTATCTCACAGTTCGTTTACACTCCAGTGAAAATGTTTGCACGAGCGTAATTCAATGAAGTAATAAACTTACTCTAGTGAGAGGAACAAAAGTCCAGGAACTTACTAAGATCCGCGCCTGCAGGCGGGGAAATGGAGGAAACTTCCTTCGTCGGATTTTTTTAGTCTTCACATGTACATAGGGGACGAACTGCTATAAACGGTATCCCAGTTTAGTTTCGATGAAACATTGAATTGAATAAACAAAAAGAGAAATGCAAAATTTTGCCGCACTTTCGACGTTTTATGGCAGGAATGACAGCAGAATGAAAGGGAAATATTTTTAATAATTTACAACAGTTGTAAAGCGTATCATGGCGTGTGATTTCCATAAAATCCAGTTTCGTTTTCTTCGCTCTGGTTGAGCACCCGCCCACCAAATCTTTCTCAGGCTTAAGTTAGTTCTACCGAATGACAGGCAAGCTTCCGCCTGCCGTTCTTAGCCAGACGCAGGTCATCGCTCATTGTCATCACTGATCCTTTGAGTCACCATTGTTGCTCACATGCGGTGTGGTGTAGTAGTAGTTTGCTTTGGCGGTTGAACCACATAACCGACCAGACGACACAAGCGCTCTCAGCCCCATTTCCTGAGTGTTTACTCAAAATACTGAAAAATAATGATCTGGCTTTGTCATTTTGTAATCCGGTAAGAGATCCTTCGTGGCGGAAGTCCCGATATATTTCAATCGAAAATTTAGTTTAGCGCAAAAAGTTGTTTTGAAACCGTCTCGATCAATTTCAAGAAGACTGTCTAAACCCTGTTAAAATTGCTATGCTGTATTTAACCACGAGAAAGGCCGACTTCAAAAATAGGCAAAGTTCCAAAATCCAGGTCTTTTTTAGCGCGTGAACCGAAGTCGGACTAAGAGAATCGGGGTATAACACAAAAGAACGTTGGTATTCGTCATATTTGACGTATATTGCTTAATTGTTATTCCATCACATTTCGTTTACACTCCAGTGTAAATGTTTGCACGAGCTTAGCTCTACTAATAAACTTACACTATAGACGAAAAATAATTATCTATAAGAGTCCAGGTACTTATCAAGATCTGCGCCGGCAGGAGGGGAAATATAAACCACAGGAAACCATTTTCTTTGATTTTTGTAGTCTTCAAATCATGCAATCTTAAATGGACGGACAACTCACGGCAACTCAGTTGAATTTCGATAAGACATTAAACTGAATAAACAAAAACAGAAATGCAAAATTTTGCTGCAGTATTGACGTTTTATGACAGCAGAGTGTAAGGAAATTATTCTCAATAATTTACAATTTTGTAAAGCAAATCTATAAAATCGAGTTTCCTTGTCCTTCGCTTTGGTTGAGCACCCGACCCCCAGTAAGCGCCCACCAAATCTTTCCCAGGCTTGACTCGGTCCTGCCGAATGACAGTGAATTCAGAAGCTTCCGCCGGCCGCTTTTTGCAACTGAGATGGTCAGTCGGTGATCATCATGAGCATCAGTCAGTGATCCTTTGAGTCGGCAGTGTTGCTCACACGCGGTGTAGTGGCAATTTGCTTTGGTGGGTGAAGCGTAAAACGGACTAGCCGACACAAGAGCTAGCTTCAGTCCTTCAGGCCCATTTTCCGAGTGTTTACTCAGTCTATGACATCAAACTGCTGAAACAAATACAGTGAAATCCCGATTTCTCGCACCCTCAATTTTTCGAACCTTCCGATAACTCGAACCAAAAGTCGTGTCCTCTATTCAGTCAAACACTGTAATTTTACCTCCGATTTTTTCTCGAACTCTTCGATTTTTCGAACCAATTTCCGTTTTCCTTGGAGGTTGGAAAAATAGGGATTCCACTGTATTATGACCCATTTCATTTTGTAATCCGGGAAAAGATCCTTCGTGTTGGAAATTCCCGCTATATTTCCATCGAAAATTCAGCTGTTACATTTAGTTTAGCGTATTTTTTTCCCTCGTTCAGAAAGTTAAACTTTGCGACTTATTTTAGCCGAGTGAATGTTCAAGACCAAGAACAATGCGAGAATTTTCTCGTTCTCCGAAATGAAACAATGGCCTCATTGATTCAACTTTACGGCTCGACTATTGAGAAATATCTTTCGGCAAAACACTAACAGAGATTTTTAAGAATATTGGATGAATCGGTCGCTTCATTGGTGAAGAGTTCTTTACTCGACATTCCATCCTTCGTGATATACTTTCTCATGCAGCTTCTCCTGAGGTACGTAAATTTTATTGATGAACTCAAGGTAAACTGCTAACAAATAAGGCACCCCCACCCCCACCCCCCTTAAGATAAGCTCCCTTTTATGTTGTTCACCTTCTTAAGAAACGGAAAACCCCAAATGGCAAATTCTCCGAATACTGTCTATTCCAGAGTCGTAAACACTCGATAGAAAAGATTTTGAAACGAGTCAGATGCATTGAAATCGCTTGCCTACTCAAGTAAACTTGAAGCTGAGTGTTTCATAGCTGTTTCCTAGCCTGGCCGATTGGAAACCAGCTTTCGACCCTCGAGCTCGCGATCGTTAGTTAGCAGTGTTTTCTTGGCGCTCAACTTTTCCTGAGTTTCAGAGGATCGCAATTTTCGGTGGATAAAAATACGATGAAATCCTCATTTTTACCACAATTGCCACTAATCTCGCAATCTGATAGAGCACTGTGGTGACGCATATCGCCGTCGATAAGAGTACAGACAACGCTTAACCACATCCGATTTGTTAATTATCGAACCCTCGAATTTTCGAACCTCTCGATAAGTCATTTCCCTCTCGTCAGTCGAACGCTGTAATTTTACCCCCGATTTCTCCAACTACCCAATTTTTCAAACAAATTTTCGTTTCCTTTGAAGCCGGGTTCGAAAAATTAGGATTACACTGCAATTATAATGTTTTTGTCCGCTGGCTGTATCTATTATTCCATTATTCGTTGCTTTCGATTTGCTATTGCAGTCAAACCAAGTGAAGCGTAGCCCTCAAAATTACATTTATAAATTGATTATTTGAATATTGAACTCGCTCGTCATTTTAAAAATCAATATTAAATTGATTTTTTAGAACATTAAACCCATTAGCCGTATTCTGGGAACGAGCTAGTGGGTTCAATCTTCCAATAATCAATTCAATATTGCATTCTTGAAACGACTAGCGGGTTCAATATTCAAATAATCAATTAATTAATGTGATCTTGAGGGGTACGCTTCACTTGGTTTGACTGTGAAGTCATAAAACTCTGATCGCTACTTTTGGAGGGTCGTAACTTTCTGAACATGTCTGTTTTCTATGTCAAAAATTAGGCCATCAAGCATTAGGAAGATTTATGATTCAAAATCGGTACATTTGCCCGTCAGGGAACTTTCGTATTTAGCAGTTTTGTGAAAATCGGAATGATCCCAAATTAGAATTCACTATTTTACTAGTCACTTGGTACGATCGCTTCAGAGAACAAATATCAGATCCGACTAACATTGAATTCAATATTTTTACGTGAGTTTTCCGCCTGGAAGATGAAATAATCAATAATCTTCAATAACAAATTTGAGTAAATAACGCCGTCGACAGATGAACTCAGTAACCAAAGAATTGCGCTTACATAATAATTTCATTTCTCGATCAAATGGATCAATTCATTTCTTCGTTCTTTAGCTCGACAAGAAGCGTGACCCTAGGAAACCCAACAGAGCTTTCTCGTAGGCTACTTTTTTGATGATAATTTACCCTCTCTCTTATAAACTATTTCTTTGATTACTATCCCAAAGGAAGACTATCTTTTATTCGCCTCCAATGTTTAATCAGTGAAAGAAACTATTCGGCTTACGGGGTGAATTATTACGTTATAATTTGTTTCAGCTTTGGCTAACAGAGCTATTCTTGATAATTTTGAGTACAAATTAATTAATTATAAGAGAGTTATACAGGAACAAATACCAAAAGTACAGAGAACGCAACTTCTAGATATTAGCAGATCTTAATTAATTTATACATGGTACTGAATGTATCGACTCAAACGCGTGGCTAAATAAACTTTGTTCTAAACTGAAACAACGTCACGCAAAATAACTGCATTGTTAGCAGAAAATATTTTATGTTTGGCCGGTAACGCTAACTTTTTTGCACAAATCTTAATTCAAAACTCTTACTGGTCGAGCGAGAGGAAAAAGTTCAGTCAGATTCGCTGGGCGGATGGGCATTTCGCTGCAATCAATATTAAAAAATGTTGATTGTAGTAATATTGCCGATCAGTCAAAGTA